CACCCGCTCTTGCAAGAACATAATAAAAGTGCTTCACTGAAGAGTCTGTCTGGAGTCCTTTAAAGTGACCAATTGCTCATTTCTCACAATTACCCAGTGAGTCTCCATCCTTGGAGGTTGTCAAGACATAGTTGGGTGAGTTCTGAGCAACCTGGCTTGACCTCAGAGCTGACCTTGCTTTGGCTGGAGGCTGGACAAGAGACTTCCTGAAGATCCTTCCAAATTGAGTTACCTTGTGACAGACCATAAATTCTGCAGCCCCTGTCCCTGTGGTTTGGGAAGGCTGTGCAGCTTGCTGCAGCACCCCAGTTTTAATTCCCCATGGAAGCTCCCACTCTAGTCCACATTTTGCCATGCCACAAACAGCTGAGCCCACTTTAAATCATTCAGATGCCAAACTTCCAAGAGAAATACAAGCTGTTTTGTGACACACTGAAATCCCCTTCTGGAGGGACGCAGGTCTATTCAAGCACAGAAGAAGCCGGAGAGATGAACTCACCTGCTGTGACCTTGCATATCAAGTGGGGAAAAAGCCCACAAGGTCCCCTGTCAGCCAGCGTGTCTCCCCAAAACTGAGCATGACTCCTCCAGGCTGCTGCAGTAGAAAGGGGGAGAGGGTCTACCTGCCCTGGACAATCACTGTAGCCAGCGTCCCTTGCAGAAGGGGGGTGTAGGTAGCTGCCATCTGCCACTGCCTGCTTTGGGGAAACAGGGCTCCAAATCCAGACCTTGGCCTCCAACAAGTCCAACTCAACACAAACCCCCCAGCCTCCCTCCCTTCATGCCCAGCTGAAACGGAAACCTCTGCTAGGGGAAGGGGCTCTTACTGCAGAGGTCTGAATTAAATGTTTCTATAAACTCTTTCCCCTCCAGCTTCAACTCAAACAGAACAGCAAGGATTTCCTCACTACAGCTAGTACCAGGAAAAGCTGAATGCATCTGTACAAGCCTCATCATCGCACTGCCCAGCTCCTGTCCTCAGCAAAGCCCATATGTCTGCTCCAACTTCTGCAGTGGAGGAGGGACAGTGTCATCTCTCCTCCAGGGAATCTGATTTTGGGTGCCATACCAGATGGTAAACAGTAATCGCCTCTGTTCCCCTGCTATCTTGCAGCAAAGCAAGTTGCTCACATACAGGACTAACACCATACTGAAGTGTCTGCTAGGAGACAGCTGACTGCTTTAAAAGAGGATCTGTTAACTGTCTGCTCAAAAGAAGGCACTAGGAGATGAGAGAAGCTAGATTACGTAAAGGTTTTAAAAACAGACATGACAACCTTCCCAGATTGTGCCTGCTTCACAGTGACCTTTCCCACAAAAGGAAAAGCTGGGGAAAAAGGCTATCTCACAATACCTGTGAATCAGGTCTGGAACATGGCTCCCCACAGAAACAACAGGCTATCATACAGTAACCACGCTTCATAGAGCAGTAAAATCTTTTTGTGTTTCATTTCATCCCCACAGCATCTCTCCCCTAACCCCGTAACTAGTTTTCCAGTCCTCTTCCTACCAGCCTCTCCCCTCACAATCCCAGCTTCTGTGTGCCTCACAGCTTGCCTCTTACCACAGCCCACAGCCCAATACCCTCTGACCTCTTACCTACACCCTGCTTCACTTGATTGTCCATCATGCAAGCTGCAGCCCCCCCATGGTGACCTCCTCCTGATTTGAGGATTTTGAGAGAAGGCAGCCTCCTGCTGCTGTATCGGCCACATCCGGCTATCCAAAACACTGTCACAGGGAGAACAGCACCTTAACACAGGAATGTATACAAAGAATACAAAACTCCTTACAGAAATACAGCTTTCTTGGGAGAAATGGGTGATATAGAAAGGCAGCCCCCATTACCCATACTCCTCTCGCAACCACCCACCTTCTGCTTAGGCCAGTTACGTACTCAGGCTGTGAGGAGATGCCTGCAAGTTAGATCTTGCCCTGGTCTAGGTTGATCTAGCAGTGTGCATGGTGGAGCATGGGAACCTCTGACGTGAATTCATTATGAATGTGGGCAAGGCAACTCCTTGGCCTGCAGGATGCTTCCTGCTTCAACTCAATTACTAGGATCCAATTACAAACGGTAAAATGGCATCTAGTTTCTTTCTAAGGTTCAACCCCATTAGGGGGTTTTAAATCAGATGCTTCTATTTGCTCTTGCTGCATCACAGCTCTCTTGGTTGGGTACTGCGATGGTGAAAACTGTGTGTGCCCTTGGGCAGACGTGCCAGGCAAGTTTGGTTTTGACCTAAATTGACCTTAATTTTTCCAAGTAAGTTCTAAAATCCTGATAAATGATAAAAACCTACTGCCCCTCCTCTACCTATCAGCCCGGTGAAGCTCAGAGTCACTGTTAACAGTAGCAAAACCTTGGAAATGGGGGAAGAAAATACATTTGTGCAGTAATACAAGTAAAAAGTCAAGGGATGAAGTGTATGTATACATATCAAGTTGTCCTGGTTTTGCTAGGATAGAGTTAATTTTCTTCTTAGTAGTTAGAATAGCTGTGTTTTAGTTTCAGTGTAGGATCTGTTATGAGAAGAATCTTGATAAAGTACTAATGTTTGGCTGGTTCACAGCTGCATCAGAACTGGGAGGGAGAAGCACAGTGAATAGCAAAACCTGAAACTGGCATTTTGATGTGCCAATGAAATATTCCAGATCATATCACATCATGTCAGTATATCAACCAGGGCTGACCAGAAGACAGGGGTATTCTCTCGGGGATCGCTCGGGCTCGCTCTTCTGGGGTTTCGGTTTCAGGACTGTCTTGGCTCCGGGGTCGCTGGCTGGCACAGGCTGGGCACCAGTGGGCAGGTGGTGACCAATTGCACTGTGCATCACTCATTTGTATATTCTGTTAGTACTATTATCATTTTATTTTGATTAGTAAATAATTTTTATCTCAACCCATGAGTCTCCTTGCCCTTTTCCTTCCAGTTCTCTCCCTTACTCCCTGGACTGGGCTGGGGGCGAGAGTGAGAGCAGACTGGATTTGGCTGCAAGCCAAAAAGAGTTAAACCACCTCACAAGTATACCTTCGAAGCCATACATACCAAGTATACTTTCAAGTAGAGCCTTAAAAAAGGATAAAAAGTAGAAATTTGATAGAGAATGAAACTCTTCTATTGCTAAGAACTGAGAAAATTGGTACAAGAAGAAAGCAGGAAGAAATGCTTTCTGGAAGAAATCCAGAAACTCTGGAAAGTCTGAAACATCAAATCCAACAAAATTAGAAGAAAATGGTTTAGAAGAGCTTTTAAAATGAGTTTTATTGTCAGAATTTTACAAGTAGCCTTCAGTGGCATCATACAAGAACTCTGTTGCAAAACTCTAATAAATAGTCTGCCCCAAGTCCCAAAATATTTTTTGAAATAAAATAAAAACCAAACTTAAAAATAAAAGAGAATAAAAGCAAGACTTCAGGATGCTCAGAGATGTTAGCAATATTTCCCATTTACAAATAATATCAAGCATTATATAAATCTCCTTCATACAAGTCATTAAAAAACCCAAGACATTCTAAACCTTTACAAAAGCACTCCAGAAATATTTCCGAAGAGATCCATTTCCATGACAAAACATTAGAGAAGAACTCCATGGGGATTAGCATCACAAATGAAGTTTGAAGTTGAAGTGTAATGTGTACTTGTGTGGAGCAAGATTAAAGAGCATGAAAAAAGGATCTGAAAAGAGTGTGTAAGTTTCTGTGACAAAACTATGCCTGAGGATTTTAATCTGTCTGTTTGAGAATGTGGTAAAGGGATGCTCTTGAAATTAAATAAATTTAATTTATGCTTTAATTTATTTAAGGGATGCTCTTGAAATTAAATAAAGAGTGGATGCTCTTGAAATTAACCCCCTTGCACTTTATGCAGGGCAATATTTATTAAGGTAGTGACTCAGGAGGGAGTAAAAAAGGTTTCTCAGCACACTGCACCATTCAATGCCTGTGCAGACTGTGGCGCTTAAAATTTGTATTCTGACACCAAAAAGGTACTTTCTGGAGAGGTAACATGTTGTGGCAAGTTAGCTGTTTCTTCAAAGAACAATAAATTAACTTTCCTGGCATAAGGCAGTTTGGGAAATCTCATGCTAGACAGTTTCACTGGGGATTGGGGATTTCAAAGCTCCAATCCTATCCCAGTACTTTGAAAAACACACTTCTCGAATTTACCTTTATGTATTCCTCTGTCTACCATAGTGAAAGATTTTTAAGACCCCTAATGTAATAAAACACAAGTTGAATAAACACTTATAAAATCTGTTGTGATTTGAGAAGTCCAGATAAATTGAATGGGAAGGCAGGTGCATAAAGATGCTTTATGTGAATTTTCATGGAAACAGGTCAGGGGAAAGAAATCTTAATCTCTTTACAACTTCAGCCTATGTCTTCTGCATATTTGCAAGTAACAGATTCCCCTGGAAGGGAAGGGGACGATACATTAAGTGGCACAGCAACAGTACTCAGTATGTCTCAGCCTGCCTGATACAGTATGAACTGCAGCATGCCTAGCTTTGCTGTTTATGTAAAGTTACTGGCAGCCACTGTTTCCATGGGAAACAAAGGCTACCAGAGATGCTAATACAACAGATGTGTGATAGTATGCCTCACCCATGGCTCATGTCTCTACTCTCTCTCCAAATGTTATGATGCTGGTTGTACTGTACCATACACTATGGACATGCATTCTCTGTAATGTATGGGAAGGTAGCACTAGCAATCGAGAGCAAATTGCTAAGGAGACACCTAAAACATTGCATTACATCTCCTTGTCTGTGGCATACTTCAGAAAACAATGTAAGAGCAGTAAAATAAACATTTCTTTCTAATTTTCTAGATGTCATAATATTTGCCAAAGCTGCAAGGAAAAGCAGATTACCTGAAACAGAGAGAAAGGAGTTAATGGAAATAGAGGCAGATGGAATAGCAAGCCTGATCCCACCTCCAAATCATTTTGTACATAACAGATAAAGAGACAATGTGCAAAAAATAGACATTCACATTTTAGCAGTTAAACTTTTATTTTATCTTTTTAAAATTATTTACTTTGTTCTTTTCTACAAAAGGCAGACATTGATTGTTGATCTGCAATTGTTCCGAGTGCACGCAGAAATGCAAAAAAGGGTTACTGGAAGATGAAGAACAGGGAAGTGCTCTGACTATACTTTCACATGTCATGATTAAGGTGGCATTAAAGCTTAAGTCCCAGTAATAATATCCATAACAGATAGTTTCCTTCCCCATACACTGTTCTCAGTTCATATCAATTGTGTTGAAAACCCATTCAGTGAATTTCTTCAGTTTCTCAGTTGCATTCTGAGATTCCTCCTGTAACCTCAAGTTGTCTTCCCGCAAATGTTGCACTTCAGCCTGGAGACTGGCCTTGTCCTCTTTTTCCTTAGGCATGAAGAAAAATACAAATCTTAGTGGAAATTATAGGTCGTGCTTCTTACCTATATAGATAGGCAAGAATCTCTTAAGAGAGGATGGGTCTCTTTCTTTATAAGGATTTTATGTGCAGTAATATACAGCTTTGTATCTAAGGGACATTTGTGGCATTTCATTCCTCCCTTTTTGCTTGAGTGAGCAGTATTTCTTTTATATTAAACTCTAATACAGAAGCTGGTTCCCCAAGTGGTGAAATAAAACTGGTCATGCCCTGTTCTGTGTGTACAACATGTACGTACAACTACTGATGGTTAACTAAATAAGGGATAGGAAATATTCCTGCAAATACTTTCCCAGCTAAAAGCCTTTTCAACTGACCACAGCAGATCCTTCTTGGCCCAAGCAGGCAGTAACACAATACAGAAAGTTTCAACAGTATAAATTATATGTTTAGATAACACTTTTCAACATCAGCAGGATATATCTACATGGACTAACTTCAAGCCTTTCGCAGTGCCACCTGAATTAGAAGTGGAGGTACTCTGAATCACTCTCCTAATTTAAGCAGAGGAATCAGATGGTGAAATGTCTTTTTCTCATACAAGGATGAGACTGTCACAGGTTCAGGCATGGCAAAGCAGGATTACACAATTATTAGCATCACCTATCAGCACTAAAGATATGTCTTACAGATTTTCTGTAGATGAAATGTTTACCTTCCTTAAATCCTCTTGCAGCATCTTCAGCAAACCTTCCAGTTGGTCCACTTTAGAGGCGAGAGTTGGAGGAGATTCTTTACTGTTGAAAGAAGGAAACAAGAATAGTATTGATATGATTTATTACCTTCACATGGGGTAGCAAACAGCCTTGTCTATACCAAGCAGCTTTATGTAGGCATGCACTCAGGTACGCTAAGGATTCACAAAATGAACAAAAAGAACCTAAGAGTAGATGGAACACATGCAGCAGATTAATCAACAGAACAAATTTAACACATGAGTAACTGGGGCCATCCTATCACTTGACTTCTCTCTACTTCCACTTATTATATGTACCTTGAATTACCATCACTTTGGACACATTTAATCTCAGACAAGAAAGAATCTGCAAAAAGGTTCAATTGTACTTATAATTCTTCTGTTTTCACTTCCCACCACCATTTTAATGAAAAATTGTGAAGAGTTCTGTGAAGCCTGGAGGTGGCTTCCAAATAAAGATGTTCCCACTCTTTTCCTTGGTTTGTAGCTGAGGAAACCTGCATATCTGCTTTATATACTTACCCTGTATAAGGCTTTATCTGTGCAGTAAGCTGGTCCTCAGCCTGATCGCTACTGGAGGCAGCACTCACAGGTCTGTGATTTTCATCATCAGCAGCAAAGAATGAAGCTCGCTGAACTGAGAAGGCAAACATACAGAGAAAAACGATGGCAGCAGTAACGATTATCTGTTCATGCACAGCACAACAGCTACACTGCAGGATCTCAAAGCAATCTAAGAAGTCTGTTTCAAGCATGATAAGGTGATGATATGACATACCAGTATCCACTTGACAAAAGCAAACTGGCATTGCAAGTGTTTGTTCCAGGTTCTCCCACTGTATTGGATTCATGTCCTGTTTTTTAGCTGGGACAGAGCTAGGTTTTATTTTAATTGCTAGAACAGTGCTGTGTTTTTGTTTCAGCATGGGATTTGTTATGAGAAAAACATTGGTAACATACCTATGTTTTCAATTGTCACTGAAAGTAGGACTTCGTGTTTTGCTAGTCTACAAGTGCAAGGTCTAGGGGCGGGGCAAGGAATATTTAAATTAATAAGCTAGACTGGCATTTGGATATGCCAACGAGATATTCCATATCATAGTGTTATGTTCAGTATGTTAATGAGGCACTCTCTCGTGTGAGTGGCTCTCTGTCTGGCTCTTGCTCTTCTGGGATTGTGGTTTTGGATTGTTGCTCCTCCAGGATCATTACTAGCTCTGGCACAGGACTGGATGCTCACACAGATCATGCATCACTCTTAGGCTAAGAAGCTCTCCAGGAGGGAGTTGCTAGAGACTGCAAAGCAGAGATACACAGCAGCACTCACGGAGTCCACCCAAGGCCAGTTTCAAGAGAGGCAAGAAGCCAAGCTGGAACAACAAGAGCTGTGCAGAACTTCCTGGGCACAACTGCATGACACTACTCAATAACTTAGTTAGCTTCCTTTACTCTATAAAGGATCCCTTTATCTTGAGGAAAGAAAAGCTCACTGTGTGCAATTTACATGGAAAGTAAAATGACCAATGTAATTTTTCAGAACCCCAATTTTTTTCCTTATGCCTTAAAAAATATTTTCAGATTGAAATGTGAAACCTCTTTCCTGCCTTGTGTCTATACTTTTTTGTCCCGTAACTGCTCAGATGTTTTAATACATCTCTAAATCACTATCACATGTAGTATGACTGTAAACTACTGACTGCCCCTACCTCTGGAGTCTCCTATAAACACACTTTAATTTAATAAATTAATATATCTCTGCCTCAGCAACTGCTGGTCTCTCACTGGAAACAGAATAGTATAATCTTTTTCTGCTTGGCAAATTTTTATTCTTGTGCCTTCAACAAGGCTAAAATTAACATGCCTTGGTATTTGAAGGAATTTTTCCTACTCCTCTCTTTTTCCCTTTGAATGAAAACGCTGAAGGTTGGTGTAGCTCAGGGATCCAAGTAGCTTTTGTTTCAGCTGGTTGCAGATACCACTATTCGTAAATTCGGGGCCTTGTGCTGAAGATACCAACCAATGATGTAGAAGAGAGGTGTCTAGCATCACAAATCAGAACTTAGGCTGCTTGGTACTTGTCAGTCCCTACTGGCTACTGGTAGAGACTGGGATTATATTGACATCAGACAGCTGTTCCCTTTCCAAGTCAAATCTGCATATATTTTTACAGTGGTGAGGATGAAGGTGCCAGGCAACGCTTTACCCCAGTTTTTCTTCATCTGAGCTGTCAGTTTGTTACCTTCACTACACTGACTTTGTTCACACTTCTAAAGAGAAACACAAGTGAGTTTGGGGCCCACAAAAGCGAGGGATTCAGGTTAATGAGGACAGTCAAATAATTTAACAAAAAAAGGGGGTCTTTTAAAAAGAAATTGCTGACAGTGAAATTCATTAAAACCTGGGTTTCATCACTATGTGGCGGTGAAAAAACAGTCACTACAAATTCATCTCTTCTTGAGGACTAAGGCTTACTCTGAATACTCTTTCTCAAGACTGCACAGCAAAAATATGAGACATGCTGGTCCTACAACTCCTATGGCAATAGAGCAGAGCACACATGTACATCTTGAACACCAGTGTAGACAAGCACTGTCTTAATGATGTATATGGCCACTACCAGAGAACAGCCAAGAAAGCAAGTTACATCACAGCCTTCTCCAACCATACAGAATAATGTCTAAAATATTAAGCATCAGCAAAAACACTTTCATGAAGGTGAGACAGTATTTGTGCAGAGATTGGGAAAAGGCACTTCTGTTTAATGCACCTAGAAGACTTTTCCATCAGATTATAGTAACTGTAAGATAAACTCCCTTTGGACTGAAGTGCATTTAATTTAAAATTCAAATACATCTAGGCAGCTTTCAGTTTTCTTCAGTTTATTAAGTGTCAAGGAGCTAGAAAGTGCCATAGGATGAGACCACACTTATGTGCAAATCTATATATTCAGATTATGCAAAGGGAAGAACGGCAACAAAAAAAACCACATACCAACAAGGCATGTGGTAGTTTCCCAAATTACCTTGGCAGCGCACTTCAGCTGCACTACAGAAACTTCTTGCTAGTGCAGTAAGCAAGCAATCATTATGGTGCTCATATGCTTTTCCCCTGCTATTTGACTACTTTTGCACTTTCATGCTAGCTGTCTTTTCCAGCCTAGCTGTGATGTCTGCAACTGCTCTACATGAAATGAAAAGCAGCCAGTTTAACACAGATTTGGCCAAATCATAGCACAGAGGGATTCCAGTATGAAGAAATGGTATCTGAGAATTACATACGAAGTTTTAGACTGTTAAGACTTGAGTTGCTATTTTAAATGAGCTTAAACTTCAGACTAAGCAGAAACAGTAACAACAACAAAAGCAAGAGTCAAGATTAAAAAAATGCAAACCATTCTTTAATGCAACATGCACAAACACCAGCTTTCCAAGCATTATATTCTGAAAACTTACCTTCAAATGCTTTGGCAGCATCTACCAAGTTTGACCAGTCCAGATCAGAGGCAGAATCAGGCAATGGCATAAGACCAGGGTCTGGCATGGGCTGCTGTCTTTGCTCCTGGATATCTGTGAGGGAGCTGTCTGAGGCAGAAAACTCTCCTAGAGTAATGAAGATCAAATTATAAACACCATTTAAAAAAAAAAAAATCCCTTTCTTAAAACTCATGCATCCCTATTTTTAATTTTTCTGGGATAGCTCTTTTGTGAGCAGAACACATTTGATCAACTGTAGTTAACCAGATACAGCATGTTACAGTCCATTTTTCTAAGACTGCTTTTCACCAGGACATTCAGCTCCTTTCTAACCTGCCTCAGTTCTTGCAGCTTACCACTTCATAAGCCAGTCTCTGCCTCCTCTCAGCACTGGGGCTTGGGGCAGTACTCTTATACCCCAAAATTCCCACCTCTACACAAGCTGAAGATACTGTGGAGGGCTCTGCAGCTTGCTGGGGCTTCTACACTCCCTGGCACCTATTTGCTCCTGTAAAAATACAAAATTGTGGTGTGTTTCCCCCTCCCCTTCTTTGCTCAAAATGCAGGATATTTTTTTTGTCTCTCTGTGTTTACTTTTCATAAATCTAAGTTCAGCTCAATATTAACACTGAAGATTCTTGTATTATCTCCCAAAAAGAGGGCAGTTATTTGCAAAGTTCTTAACATGAAAATATTTACAATTAGTGAAAAGATACAACACAGAATTAGAATAAAAAATTAACCATTTGAAAAATTACATTTTAAAAGTGTGAGTTGGATTGTTAATTAAGACAGATGCATAAATAAGAACATTTTAAACTCATTGTTTTCTCTCTTCAAAACAAATGAAGGTGCTCTGGAATGGATTTTCTTTGTTATTAAGATCTCTGAATTAAAAAAAAAAAATTGAATAGCTGGAAGCCAACAAATACTTGTGGTAATAAACATCCAGCTCTACTTAATCCTTCTCTCAGCAAAGGCAAGTGTGTGTGTGGGAGACAATTTGTGTGCCACTCAAATAGCTGGTCCTATAACCATCCCTACATTTTATAGAAAATGGGAAATCTTGTTTGGTTGACAAATGTAGAAAGCTTATGTGCTAAGAGAAGTAATCAGGAAGAGAATGTAACAGTGAAAGAAGGTTTTGTGGTTTTCTTTTCAGAAAATAGGAGCATCTGAATGAAGAGACCAAGTACTGCGTTCCACTTCTACTCAGATAATATAATTCATTTTCTGACCCTGAGGCATCAGAAGCCAAATCCACCACCCAGTTACAAGCATAACCAAGTCTGCAAAGTTATTTTAGTGCATATAAAAAGCAGAAGTGAAGCAAGCTCAGTCTCCTAACTCTCACGGAATAAACATGTTACAGAAATAACACCTCATGAAAATGTCAGGTTCAACACTGAAAACTGATGCCCAGTGATCACAGACAGATGAAAAGAATTCAAAATAGATTTCTTCAGCAGCCTTCACTGTCAAAAGTATCCCTGTATCTAAATACAAACTGTGCTTAGGGCCCACTACAATGAGTTGAATCTACTGAGAGCCTTGCATTTTGCTCTTGAAACGTATATATATGAATATATCAGAATATATGATATATATATTCTGTGTATATATATATATACGTATATACATGAATATATCAGAGCAGATATGCACTTCTTCAGAAAACATTGCAGAATCCTACACTGTGAGATCTAGCTCTATTTCTGGAAAATATATTTAGTACACATTTAGTTATGAGGTACAGAGGGAACCTGTGAAAATTCCCTTTCCCACCGAGACGTTCACATGCAGCAACACACAACCTATCAGATGATCCTACTGAGACTTTTCAGTAAACTAATGGGGGAAAGCTGAGTGCCTTCTTGACAGCTGTTTACCAAGTAACTTTTTCTTGTTAGCATTGATGTGTGACTAAAATAAGTAACTCAAGTAGTGTAAAATGAATAGGATAAGGCAGTAAATTTAAAAAGAGTTGGTGCAGTAAAAGCTGTATCTGGTGTAGTTGTACATCCAAATGTCCACTAGTATTTATCGACTTTTATATCATTATTTTCCTAATAGTATTTTGTTCCCATAATCCCACACTAAAGGAACTGAAGTTGTCACTGGTGGATAACCAGGCATTATTTGTCCATTGGTCCAACTGGTCCAGATGACTCCTGGAAGAAATCATGAAAACTTACAGCCAATGTGGCAATTTTTTGTGCTTCCTCTACAAGGTAACTGCATGACCAGTCATGCAGTCTTATAACCACTGAAAAGAGGAAAAAAAAAAAAAAAATCCCATCCTATATTATATTTTCAGGCATGTCACTTGACTCTCTTTTAGCAAAATCAAGGTGGAAGTACTAATTGCTGTAACAAATATTTTTCCGTAACACAATTCACAAAGGATTCCTTTGAAAGTAGAAAAATGGGAAATACGCTCACCATGTAGTGATTTCATTCCCAAAGTATATGATGGTCTCCGTAATGGCAGTGACTTTGGGAGAGAAGGGTACGTGCTGGTGAATAGTACATCATTTGGCATGGCTTGGTCCAAGAGTGAGGCCCGTGAGGTGAAGAAGTGGTCCCTTTGACCACTGTAAATACTCTCATCTGACAAAGTCCTTTGCAAGGCACGCCTTGTGGTAGGAGTGCTGGGAAAGGGAGACTGACAGGACAGAGTGTGTGACTATACATTCATAAAAACAAATAAAAAGAAATGAGAAAAAAAAATCAATAAAGAAACTTCTGAAGTCCATGTTAAACAGTTTTTTAAAACTTTTTTTTTAAATAAGAAAGCAAGTGTTAACATAGTATTTTTGCAGAGTGAATAGGAAAAAGAACTAAAGGAATCTGCTTTGAAGGAGATTACAACTAGATAAAATATATAGGTCTTTTTTAGCCTATCTCACATTCTACCTTTTAAATACCCTTCAAACTTCTGAAGTGGAAATCTCAGGCAGCCCTTGTGGATTCCAGAGCTGATGTGTAGCAGAGATAACATGTAGCAGACTGAATGCTGCATAAATCAGAATTCTCCCTTGTGCCCGGGGGCAGGCTGCCCTCCTGGAGGTAGAGCACCAGCAAATGCCAACTACTGAGAAGTCATGAGACTGAAGAACTAGGAATGGCCATCACCATTTGGATTCTTCAGAAGGATCTGAATCAAAATTAAGTAAATAGTCCCATGAGTAAGAGAACTTGTGTCTCAACCACATCATCCCAGCTTCCTCCATGCTCCACACAGGAGAAAGCAATGCTGGGGTTAGCCCGGAGTTAGCCCAGTGCCAGTGAGCTTCTATCAAAGAATGCATAACCATTCCCATCAGCAGAGACACTGATTTTTGTGAAACCTGTAGCAACAGGACTATCTCTAAGACATAATATTTCTTGACAATTTGGTTGAAATTTGGTCCAAAGGCTTTAATGGAGAAATGGCAAAGAGAAAGGGAGATCTCACCACCTTCATTTGCTCTGTAAGCAAGTTTAAACAAAAAATAAGAAGAGAATGCAATTTCTTGAAAGAGTGATTAAACATTACAAAGAGTTGCTCATTTGCACATAAAAATAGTTCTCTCTTCTCAGAAAGAGGAAAAAAAATTATTTAAACAGACGGTACTCTATTCCTGTGACCAAAATCCCACACTACAAGGTGGGAGAAAAGCATGGAGGAGGGACTATTGGCACTGTACAGTGGAAAACAATCTGCAAGATTTATTTATTTATTTTTTACAAAATGTGACAAATTTTAATATTAAAAGACTGCTGCACATTTTGGTTTTTTGATTAAGGATCAGAAACAATTGATATTACTTACAAAAGCCTGCTATCATCAAAAGATAAGGAAAGAGAAGCCATGTCCCATACCAACTTTCTATTACGTCAAATTCTCCCTTCTGTGTTGTGTCCCTCAGGACATGCCCATCACAGTATGAACCTTCCATATACAATTAACACTACAGACATGACAACTGCTGGTACACAGTTGTCACTGTGTTACATTGAGGATCAAACCACTTTTTTATTCTGAAATTTAAAAGCTCAATCAGCAGGTTCACATTATGATTCAGTGAAACCTCCCAGTGCTTGTCCTGAAGTGGCAAATGAAAAGAAAGAACTGTTAAGCCAAGCAGCATTTATTGGAGGGTGGTATACTTCACTTTGTGTTGAAGAATTAGGAGCTGGAACCATAAGTTAATATATGATGTTGAGATTAAAAAGTTGCACAGATAAGAACATCTGATGGAGTCAGAACAGAGACAATATGAGTAGGAATTGTCTTCTGGTAACAGAGCAGAGGTAAAAGAAGGGTGACTAGTCTGAGAAGATACAATGTGTAAGTAGTAGATAAGGAGGGCTCAGAAGATAATAAAAAGACGAACAAGACACAATCACAACCTAGAACAAATTCTACTAGCAAACAAAGCCTTTGGCAGCCAACAGACAGAACGAAGAGGATTACTAGTCTTTGTGCAGTGAATTAATGAAGGGCATTATCATTCTTTTTCTTTCTTTTTTTTTAAACTGTCAAAAATTTTTATGCCATAAGAGCAATTTTTTTGTAAGATGAAATATAAATCATGCAATGGGCAGAAGTGACAGTTACTTTTAAAATGGAAAATAATTTAATTTATTGATGTGATAGAATGTTACTAACTTGATGAAATTTATCTTAAGTGTAAACTGCGTTAACATACTTGTTATAGTCACCAGGAAATAAAGATCAGGGTAAGAATTGATTCACTAGCCCCAAAGCAGAAAAACAAACTTGGGAAAATAAACACTTTTAATGGTCTTCAGGTCACCTCTTTAAACAGAATGGAATTTATTGGAATGAGAACAATCCTCTTGCTCAAAACAACAAACAGGATTTGCTCACATCACCCACGTCCCACTCTCCTCAGAACTACCACAGACCTAAGAAAAAGATATCTTGCCATTGGCTAGGGTTTTTTTCTCTCTGGGCTGAAAGGTAACATCTGAAATAATCTGTGTACGTTTGGAACATAGCACTTACAAGTTTTAATGTGCCACTCTGGGTTTTCATAAGCAAAGAACAAAGTTGCAGCTCTCTTCTGCATGGTTGCTGTGGAAACCATTTGGGCTCTATGTGATGAGCCTGAGCCATTAAGCACTGACTGTACATGGAGATGGTAGAAATCAAGACATTCTCTTCAAAATTATGGAATTTTAAAATTAATATATGCACTTTTGTGTTATTACACACATTTTGAAACACATCCGGAAATGTTTCTAACTATTTATCCTGTATAAATATTTGCTTAAGTTTAGGAAGCGTTTTTGGTCCTTGAGCAGTAACAGGTATAAAAGCATGCTTTTTGCAAGGAGTTTCATTACTGTCAACAAGTCACTGTCTAGTGATGCAATCAGAGAAGAATTCAAATGCAGAAGACAACACTACAGGATGGAAAATTCAGCAGTCCTAAATGTTCTTTGCAATTTAGCATACCAGTCTCTTTAAATTTGCACACAAAACTGTAATAATATTGCAGTGATTGTAATAATGAAACTCTATTCTCCAAATGTATTTCTCTAGCAGATAAGTCTGTGACAAACAGATGACCTTCTGTCCATGATGAGCATTCAAGAAATGCCTTGCATTTTATTTTCCTGTTATGAGTGAGAACAGAAAAGATCCTATCTAAGAAACTCTTGAGTCCAAAGCAAAGTCCAACTGAGTAAGCTCTGTGTAAATGAACACTTCAGCTTTGACTGCTAAAGTGTAATGTCACACATTTCTATTTTGTAGCTACAGAACTATGACTTGGATCAGAAGAGGACCTGTGTGTTGCTCTTCAGGTATTCTCAGATTTCACTTAACTGTGACAAGAGGTAGCCAGGTGACAGAGTCTCTCTTTAACATACCTTAAAATTCTTCTGGGATTCAGGTGTCGGGCTATCAAGATCTATCAATTTCTTCAGCTCTTCTTCAATGGTGGACTTGGATGCTCGTTTTGGTGATGCTCGTAGATCTCTCGCTGAAGCACGCAGCCGAGGGTGGGCCATTTCATTGCCATCACTCTGGTGACGTCTTAAATGAAATGGAACAGACATTCAGGTCTCAAAGCCCTGGGGCAGGAGGCATGAATAAAACAAGAGTAAGAGTACCCTCAAGATTTTCAAAGAAAAAAACTAGTAGGGGGCATGGAAAAGGGAAGCAGTTTCACTAATACAGCAGAGACTCAATACCTGTTGAAGCAACAGACTTGTTTAAAAACATCAACTTAAAGGTTATCCTAACACATTTTCCCAATAAGAGACTGAATCTATTAAAATAACATGTATTCTATACAAAACCAAAAATGAGCCCAAAAGCAGCAAATCACTAAATTTCTTTAATCTTTTAACTGGCTTTTTATAATGCAATTATCACTAAATTTCACCATCTCCTTTTGACAGCCAGTTATTGGTATAATCTAGGGATTCTGTGCTTGACCCCAAAAAAGTCAAGAATTGAATAAATTACTTCAAAATGGGCTTTGTGAACCACTTGCTTTCCAAGTCATACTAGACTTAAAAGAACAACATTTTCACTATTGTTTCTCAATTTCTTTTCCAAAAGAGCTGGTTGCATATTGTAATGCAGAGAGATCTTTGCTTACTTTAAGCTAGTTAGATTGGATACTGGCAGCAATCTTAACAAGGCAATGTGGAGTGCCACAGAGCTAATGCATAGCATGCACGGTGCTACTATGCGGATGAGAGGCTTAAGGAAAACTCAGGCTCTATTTTAAGAGGATTTTTAGTATTTGCTCAAATAGCATTCCGAGTCACCTTTACAAAGTCCCAAGGAAAGATAAGCTTTAGCAGGACTGAAATCCATATAGCTCTCTAGAAATGATACAAAAATCTTTTACAAGTTGACAGGGAATGAGATTAGCTAACTAACAAATATTTAAACTTAACTGCAGAACTCTAGATTAGAGATTAAGTTCTGTAGAAGACTAAGCATTCTATTAATAGTCTTGAGCTCTTCTATACAGACAAGTGTCACAGATCTCAATGCTTCTTTACAATTAAAGCAAACAGCCAAACAAAAGAACCAAAAACCAGTCTTACTTTCTTGAATCCATAAACCCCACTGAGTTTATTGTCCCTTCTGGCTTTTTCCATCCGATCAGATACTTGCTAGTAGCACCCTGGCGAGGGTAGAAAGTCCTAGGACCAGATGAGGAGGAAGAGGAGGAGGAGAAAGAAGGTGCGAGCTGGGGAGAAGTAGCAGAATGAAGCTCTTCTTTAGGTGAGCTTCTGGCACTGGTGAAAACAACTGGGCTGGCAGAGTGTCGTGAGCTCATGGTACTAGGACAAAAACATAACAAGCATAATAAAGACAAAATTTGCCTCAAATGTGTATATATGCACCTTGTTTAACCATTTTAAAGCAGAACTCTGTGCAGAAGATGTTACTCATCAACAGTGGGTAGAGTATCAACAGTTTGCTCTTCTTAAGGGCCTTCCTTTAATTAAAGGTAATCTTTAATTAATTAATTTAATTAGTCTTTAATTAAAAACATCTCACATAGTACTGAAAAATTTTGTAAGCAACCTCTAAGGATGCAATATACCACTGTCCCCTCATTCCCTTTCACAAATGGGAAATCTAGTGTTTACAGGCGGATTAGGCAGCTTAAAATTAATACAAGAGATTGTAGCTGAATTAACATAAAAGAAACCAAATCCAGTTTCTTGCTGGAATTCCTGGGTGTGGAAGAAAACATATTTTGAAGGAATTTAAGCAACAGGATACATCTCTTAAAATCACACAACAAACCACAGAAGAAACCCATACATCTTTGAAAAGAGGGCTTCCTGGATTTTGCCTGAAAAGCAGTTACAGTTTGCAAAAAAACCTCTTAAATTGCGAAGTTTGAGCAGGTCTCTAACATATATCACAATTTGTCTAGACAGAAAAACAGTTCAGATGACCTACTGCAGCTTATTGTTGGAAGGAAGAGAAGGGCTTTAGATGGGAGCTACTATTTATTTATGCTGATATTAAAATCTGATGCAACTTTCATAATATCAGGAGCACTACGGCTTAAGACAATATATACTCTAACAACCTAAAGGTTTCTAAGTATAGTTTCAGGAAAACTGTGTACAGCCTTAGTATGGAAAAATCATTATGTATTTGGAGACCAGTTTTCTATCAGCTCTCTATACAACTTAGCCACATTTTCATCCCTGTATCCAACACTGCAAAGAAAAGAATTTGAAACAGATGGCCCCATGGTAAAGAACAGTTTCTGACTAAGAAATAAAAATCAGCTGGAAGGCTGAATAAAGTCACTGAATAATCTTTTCTTTCTTAGCTTAACATAAAATCCTTCACCACTCTCTTCATATCTTTATAAAACAATGCATTTTCACATTTCTCTTGAAGAAACCGAAAAAGTAATTTAAGGTTAAATTTATGTTCCCACCTGGGAAAATAAACTCGCCTTACAGAAGTCAGTTATCTAATCTATGCCACTTGTTTGGCTCCTGCTGTAAGTCAATGGAGAAATATCCTTAGGAGGTGATTCTCATCTTAAATTAGGCTTCTCAAATATACAGGGAGAATGAATGCTTTGGAGTTTCTCCTCTCTCCATTGACAAAAAATGGAATCTAAAAAGTCACTGTCCTGGTTTTTGCTAGGATAGGGTTAATTTTCTTCTTAGTAGCTAGAAAGCACTGTGTTTTGGTTTTAGTGAGGATTGTTATGAGAACAGTGTTGATAAAACAAGGACACTGTGCTTGGGCAGTTTCCAAGAACAGAGGAATGGAAGGGCGGAGTGGAGAAGAAAAAGCATAGTAGTTAGTAAAAGCCAGAACTGACAGTTGGATATGCCAATAAGACATTCCATATCATATTACGTCACATTTAGTATATTAACTGGGGCTGACAGGAAAGGGGGAGATTCTCTCAGGAATTGCTCAGGTTCACTTTTCTGGGATTGCCATTTCAATTTCGGGGTTCCTTTTCTCTCCTTCAGGATTGTTATCAGTGGGTGATGAGCAATTGTACTCTGCATCACTCATATATATCTATATATATAGTTGTTATAACTATTACTCTTATTATTATTATTTTAATTTTATTTTTACTCTAATTATTAAATTGTTCATATGTCAACCTACAAATCTCCTCACCTTTACTCCTCCAATTCTCTCTCTGATTCCCTGGGTGGGGGGAGGAGGGGGGGTTGCGAGTGGCTTTGTCTTGTTTAGCTGCCAGCTAAGTTAAACTATCACAGTCACCTTCAACTATGTTTCATTTTCAAGTTAAGCACCATGAGTCCCAACAGTTAAGTGCTGTGGATTTAATGAGGATCCTGAATGGACCTTAGACTTCCCACTTCAAACAGCACTGGCTGCTGCAGTCCATGCTTCCATCTGATGTACATGGGGTTGGCGCTGTAGTTCCTCACATCAGGGACAAGATGCATCTCCCATATGTATGCAAATCAAATGACAATAATACAGATTTTGTATTATAGAATTATTTTTTTCTTTCCTCCATCTGTACATTTGAAAGGCCTATACAAAAGATGGTACATTGGGAAAAAATAGGAAGAGATTTTCCTGTCCATCAAACCCTTGACACTGCATAGCTCAACCTTCATATTTGTAACAGACACAAGTAAACATAATTTTCAGCAAGAAAGTAGGAAAAAAGAAGAGCTAGGGGGAGAGGCAGTAAATTTCTCTTCATTCCCCCCTCTCTCTTCTTTATCAATACTGAAAGAAAACCTCTACACATCCTGAGTAAGCCAGCCCATCTGTGAGGCATTACCACCGCAAAATTAAACTGCCAAGATATGGGGAAGACTCACATCTTTAAAGGAAACCTATGGGGCTATTTTTTTTTTTCATTTTTACCTCCTTCGAAATACACTCAAGAAGCGGAGAAGTCTTTTGCTTCAGTGTAGGAAAAGGGAAATTGTGATCACATTTCAGAATTCTTTAATCCATCAGGTAGTTCTCAAGGAAGTGCTAGTTCTGAGAAAACATTTCTTGATAAAAACCAGTAACAACTCCTAGACAGGCTGGTAGTATCGATCCTTACTATTACTACGCAAAGGCAGCAAAAATGATGTTCAGTATGTTAAGTGAGAGCATATCTGGAGAGCAAAAGGCTTTGGATAAACTCTAGAAAAACTAAATTGGAGCTGCAGCACTATGGTAGTGATGGTAAGTTATTACAATATTTGACACCAGGAAGCATGCAGAGGATTACTCATACTGTAACAGACACCTGGACCAGCTTATTACAACTGGAAGAAATTCAGTCCTCATATTCTCAGGACACAGATAGCCATTGTTGGTCCCCCATCTCCCACCTCAATTATTGAGACATCAAGGATTAAATTAAGGAAGAATTCAAATACTACATGACAATCCACAAGAATTTCAGATGAGCCACTCATAAAAGTATTTCACAATCATTAAATAATATTTTAAGTACCTTAAAAGTATTAGAAGTAATGAAAAAAGACACTTGATTAGAAATAGTAATGATTTTCCTTTTAGTTTTGGCAAGAGGACCATAAGAAACCGCATAGTTTAGGTGGAAACGAAAGTTTGATTTTATTTCTTTTCCTAGAGAATGCATGCCATCAGCGCATATGGCTTCATTTAATACATTCAGCTATAATGGTTCTGTAGAATTACTGGCCTACATAATACTATTCTCCTGGGATACTATGAGAAATCTGCACAATCACCAGCAAGGACTTTGGGAATGGGGGCGGAGAAGAAAAATAAAACCCAGCCAGAAGCTCTGCTGTAAAAGTTAATCACTATAATTTACATTTTGCCACCAATTCTCAGGTACAAGTTCTTTTATGCATCATCAAATGATCTGAACACTAATTATTGCTCCTGTCTGTACAGATACAAACACCCTAATTTGTGGTTATTTTCTTCTCTTTTGTCACCAAGTTCTTTATAGGGACAAATTCCTTTACTTCTTGCTCAGAAACCCAACTCTAAAGATGTTACAGACACTCTGGCATCTACAGGCAAAAGGTAAAAAAGTGAGAAGTGAACAAAGGATAACAATTTAGAAACTAATAGAGAAACATACCAATTAAGCTGTTCATTTCTCATGAAAAGTAGCCTGTTCAGAATCATCCTTTGTCTCCCCTCCTTCACCTCCCTGAAGCATGCAGCTGTGGTTACATTTTGGAAGTGTCAGTTTAAGAAGCCTCCAGCTCCAAGCTGTTGTGCCTCCATAGAGCGAACTACGGGAGAGCTGGAAGCATCAACTCAGGATGCCACCAGAAACAAAATGAAAGCTTTTTAGCCCAGACTGTGCCTTTGCTTTATTGGGAGGCATCAAACATGTTCTAGTTTTCAAAAATAAGAAACAATAAAGAAGGAATGCAAGTCAGTCTTTTTTTTCTCCACCAAAATAAGTGATGTGGGTGCAAGGATTGTAGTATTTCTTAAGTATCATGCCCCATGTGTTCTACAAATTGCTACTAGTCCTCTTTGCAAAGAGCTGCATTTTTAATACCTGGTTTTTAAATGAAACTGGAAAAAACCCAACCAACTGTTTTCTTTAGCATAAAGCCTATGGAACCTTTGGAAATTTCAGTAACAGCCCCAAGAAACCACGTAGAGAATAACTTCAGTATCATTAGAGAAACACCACATAAATTAATCCAAATCAACCAGAGAAAACACCATGTCTGGAGACACAATGCTATCATATAATTAATGAGACTACATGCCAGATTTAAGTTTGCAATCAAGTTGCAAAGTATATCCACAGAAGACAAAAAGATGAGACCTGTCAGGGTATGCCTGTCCTGTGAAGGTATGTTTCTTTGTATTTAATTTTCTTGGTTTTTCTACTGAACGAACCTGATTTGATGCTCATAGAAGAGGAAATCCAGAAACTCAGATGTACAAAGATGCCATACTGATTAGGCCCACCTTTACAATAAAGCTTCCAGGAGTTACATGTAAGCATTCCAGGCTTCTTTGAGTTGCTTCTGAAAAAATGGCTTCAAATAAAAATGCTACTGCCATCTTCATTGCAATCAGGATTTTGTATAAGAATCTCACATTTAATGCTACTGTTAGTTACATTCAGACAAGTACTGCAGAGCACATGGTAGATTCAAATTAATGTTAAAAAAATGCATATAAACATGCTGGTCTTAAAATAAAAGGGATAAAACTGTAGATAACCACCCTATAGATTTTTACTTTCAAAAAAGGGGCACAGGCTAACATGACCCAAAATCTAAGTAAATCCCTCTGCATAGTGTTTTCTACAGACTTACTCAAGTTCTTCATGCATGCTGAGCTACTAGAAACACCAGTCTCAAAGACCTGGGTAGGATTTATACAAACTGAGTATGAGCTTTAGTGCTAAAAATGGCCAACCAAGAGAGGCAGAAAACCAGAGCATGACCACTATTAATTGATTACTTAGTCAAAATTATCATAAGAGATAATTTTACATGTACATGAAGACCGTTCACTACATTATAGTCTCTATGACAACCCCTATTTGCAGCTACTGTACAGGGAGTTATTAAACTGTCTGATAAACATCTAGCCTTGCATAAGTGTAGCTTTGCTCAAACCAATTAGCAAAAACTGCTTCAGACTTTTAGCATGTAGGTATTTTAGCTGCACACTCAAAACAGATGTGCCTTAAGAATAAAAATATAACAGTCAGGCTCTACAAGGCCAACAAATTATGATGATCTCACATCTTCCTTGAAAGAGTCGTGTTTTTTTCTTGTTGCTAGTATCACATAGTATGAGTATTTTTCAAAAAGTGCACTGAATACTTCTTGGGAAATGGGTTAGGAAAATGGCCTAAAATATTTGCTGCCTCTAGCAGCTCTGATTAACTTGTAAAATGGGTACCTTCCATCTGAGGTGTTCAAGTACATGTACTTGATATTCCCAATTTTTAAGTGGCAAAAATGAGGGAGAAAGGGAAGGTGACTGTAGTGTCTCATACCCACAAGCTTGCAATATAATGAGATTAAAATCTACATGCTAGCACTCCCAAGCAACTTGCTCAGTCTTGATCATACCAACCGCAAGCAGATTTCTGAACAAAAAGACAGGGGAAAAAAATTGCAAAACATCTGAAATGCATACTTGCAACATATTAAATATTATGTGCACTAATAAAATGGACTGATCTCATTTCTGATTCATATATGAACTGTAGTTCTTGCAAGATATTCCTTATAAAACACATCAGACATGTCTGTCTAATGTTAGTTTAGTAGCAGTAGTATGGAATGTGCTCTCAAAGACATTCTTTAGTCTTACAATCAGTAGCAGATGCAAAGACTAAAGGTGGTCTTAGTTTTCAAGCATTCTGCACCGTGAGATCTTTCAAAACACTGGTTAACACAAGTAGAAACCTTTCTTCAACATCCACTGCTCACTTTTGATAGGCTAGAGAGTGAGAATGGGAAAATGAGTGTGGATGGGTCAATCTCATAAGAGGTAAAAATTACCTTGTATGTGAGACGGCATCACTAAGACTATAAGCACTGTTCTCCCTTGTTAGAGGATTGGAGGCTGGTTGACTCTTGCTGTGAATATCCAGGCTCAGTGAAGACTCAGTCTTCCGGTCCATGCGGCTCTCTTTTTCCAATGTGCTGTCTGCAATGGAGACCACTTCGCTGGAGCTATGCCACAGTGGTGCCACTTTCTCCTTTGTTAGCCCTGTACGGGGAGATGTTGCTGCTCCCAGGGAGGCAGTGCTGCCATGGCTAGGTCCGTAGGAAGTGGTATCTATGCCACTATCAGCTGAAGTCCCTTGAAGGTAGTTGTAGCTGTTCAGCTCTGATTCGGTGCGCTCTCCACTGTCATACCACTTCTCATCACTGTGAGCACTGGATGCATTGCTGGAGAGAGTATTGCTGCTGGAATGGCTGGAGTAGTGGCTGTCAGACTACAGAAGAAACAACAATAAAAAACCCCCAAAACAAACCCAAAAAAACTACCACACCTGTAGGTTTATTTCAAAATTAGTGCAATAAAGAGGAGGAGGAAAAAAACAATTACAAAAGTCACCACTGCACAAATAGGTGCTCTTCTACCTTGAGATACTGCATAGAGAGGAGACTAATAAACTAAAAATTTCACTCCAATGCAATGCATGTGATCTGGTCTGGGTGCATATAAAAAGCTTTCATATGTATTTGGAAGTCATGTCTTAACTATTCAGGGACAGCCAGAGTTGTTTGTATTTTGTCCCAAAATACTTTACACTGTTTCCTTTCAAGTACAGTTCTGCTCAGCCCAGTTCAATGAAATTGGCTGAGATGTGCAGACTTTTGACTTGGTTCATAACTACTATAATTAAAAATATTATATACTTTAATAATCCAATTGCCTATCAAAAGGTTAAAGTAGGGCAAAATAACCTCTTCCTACCTCTTGTAGTAGAGTATATTTCCTCCTCAGCAGGAGTGTCCTTTGCAAATGACCACTGAAATGTCATTTAACTAATCTGAAACTGTTTTCCAAACTGCAAAATTGCAAGAAAGGATGTTTTAATGCAATGCTTTGAAATCAGGGCATGCCAGTGTCTGGCATGTGTTCTGTCCTTGGTTATAGCCAGCTGTTCCGGGGAAACTGAATGCCCTCAATTCCATAGTGGGCATTGGTGGAATATCCCATTACATGAAGAATTCCTTGCCATAGACTCATCATTGCTTAGTAGCTCATCTACCTTTGGGTTATTTATATCCATCTGAATTCCTTGATTTTATTTTCCATCTACAGAATTTATCTACGTTCTGATAATCTTTATAATCAGAACTGATGCAGTTTTTCAGTTGGCAATGGACTTGTTTGGTGACCAGATGGCCCAGGAATAAGGGAAGGGATGGGAAGGAGACTTAGAACCACTTTTCCTATGTATCTGCCCCTGGAGTTTTACTAAACAGGCATGGGCAGAGATCCCAGCCAAATACAAAAGATTAAATATTGCTTCTGTTTTAACTGGAAAAGAGGGAAAATAGAGAATGATTGAGAGCAAGAAATGTCAGCATCCACATTTCTCATTATACTAAAGCAAGAATTGACAAAAAACCAGAAGGAGTATTAAGTTGATCTGGACTCCTAGTTATCTCCAGTTAAAGTTACTGCTCTTCATTAGGAACTGCAGCACTCCCGCCATCTATCTGTCTACATAATAAAGATTTACTTTAACAATGATTAAATGAGAAGAATGCAAGCATCATTTGCTACACTTTGCACGCAAGCTAGTTAGTTATGTATTATGTCCTTATACAGTCAAATACATCTAATGGAAAAAAAGACAATCTAAACCTATAAACTAGTTTGTGCTCCAAAGAATATGAAGACAGGTGCATTGTTGTTGGTTTGGGGTTGGTTTTATTTTTTTTTTTTGGGTGTGCATGTGGTTTCTATTTTTTTAACTAATAAAGATGTGTTGTTATGAATGAATAACCTAAAAGAAAAATATAATTCTGGTAAACAGGAGGAAATAATAGGAACCAGTTAAAGACTTTCTCACACCTAAGTAAATGCAACTAATATTTTCAGTATAATCATGCAACACAACTCTATTTTAGCTGTTTGTACAACTAAATAGAAATTAAGTGATAAGACTTACTGGTTAATTTAAAGTTTAAAGGGTGGGGTTTTTTTGAGTCTAGTGACTTAAATAATTTAAGACATTTTAAATTTATAAATATTACTGCTTTTATCTGTCTCTGTATGTAAATCAGGATGTGATAGTCTCCAAATGGTGTGAATATAGCAAACTCTGCAGAGATAGAAAGGCAAAATTTACCATTTAGACACTAAATACAAATAAAACAAGAATTATTTTTTCAGCGGGATTCCAGTAGACCTTTCAGATAAAGTATCCCAACAATCTGCAAGGCAGGTTATGGAAAGGAAATAATAGTTACACTAGATGACAAAAGTGGAGAAAATACAAAATCAAAAGTAAGATCACCATTCTGTTTCAAAGAAGCAGTTTTCTGAATGTTGCATTATAAAATATATTAGTAAACTTTAAGTCTCACATATGAGGCCTAGGAAGAACTTTGCAAGCTCCCACAAATCCTCTACTTACCACAAGATAACAGACAAGAAGTTGTTCAACTGCAAACAAATCTTTATTAACTAATAAATATTTCTGTAAGCCTCTGTAGGATTCAGGAAATAACAGGCCTGCTGTGCTGCCTCCTCCATTTTCTAGTAGGGAACTGGGCTTGAGGATTTTTTTAATTTTTTAACTGACACTAAATATAACTCTGAACAACACTTTTGGTATCAAGAGCTTGTGGAACGAAAGCAAAACATTAAATAATTCCTTTTTAATGATAACTTACATGACCCTGCTTATTTGGAGACAAATGAACCACAGGATCCTGTCTCATCAGTCTTCCACTGGGGCTTTCTCTGAAGGACGGTAGTACTTTTGATACTGCTGGGAGATGACATGTTGGTTCTGCAATACAGCACACAACGACACACTGAAGAGAGTATGCAATGCAACAAGCTAAGAAAACGTGGAACCTAATTTTACACTGCAATTTTTCCAACTCCAATTGGCCAAACTTTGGATACAAAATTCATTCCAAATAAAAAATACATATTTGGACAAAACACAGGTTAGCAAGTGAGGGCTCATTCCTGCCTACCGTAAATCAGCAAGATTTCATGAAAAACCATCAGTCACCATCCTGGTTTTTATTAGAACAACCTGAATTGTATCATGCTCCCATTGTCCAACAGCATTGTATCAGAGCATTAAAACAGTGGAATATTCATTCTCAGTGTACTGACATTGTCCCTCCATACACACACTGTCTGTGGATAAGAGATTAAAAAACCTGAAGATCCACGTTCCCTAAAAATGTGTTCTGTGCAAGGCAGGCAATAGCAAAAGTCTACAGCGATCATTTAAACCAACACATTTTCTCCAGTACAACTACTACACATATTTGTTGTCAAAGTTAAGGTGAGTTAAATAAACATTTTCTAACTGAAAAGAGTTAGCAAAAATCTGTTAAAAACACAATATTCCCTTAAAAATTGAGGGCTGTGAATGTCGAAACTGCATAGATGCACAAAAGGAATCCTTACTAAACTAAACCTGACAAAAGTGGATGGAATTCAAATTACTCTTCTTACATGGACATTCACAGGAGTGCTCTGCCAATTAAACTTAGTTTTTTTCCCCGGAGATAACTCTAGAGGGTGTTCAGACACAGCCCATCAGGTAGGTAATTGCCTTCTCAGAGTCCAAGGTCAGTATTTAAAAGAATCTCTCTCAGTTGTGACTTTTCACGTGTATCTTCAATCCTGTGGTTATGCAATATTCTGCACTTCTAAAAATGCTTTAAAGGAGAATATGTGCTTGAGAATATTAAGTACTTAAGAATATCCATGGTAATTAACACTGCTTTCCTCAACACAGCTACAATTTGTTCATCCTGATGTGCTGTATTACTAGCTTTTAAAAAACAAAAAAATAATTAAAAAAATCAAACTTGCTTCCCCTGGCAAGTGGCAGCAAGCAGTGTTGGTGCACAAAGAACAAAGATCTTCTGTAGCTAAGAATGGGACAGGAAGGAGTGAGTGTGTGGATTCACTGCACCTAATGCCTTATTTACCTCAAGACAGATTATCCCAAGTGGAAATGTGCTTATTTGGCATAGAACCAAACTTTCACTTAGATTCACCAGACTGGCAATAAAGTCTCCAGTTAAGAGATGCAGCTTCCAACTGTGACTCTATGAATGCAGGACAATACACAAAAAATAAAATACAAGGATTATGTATCAGCAGGCCTTTCTCAGCCTTTGCCAAACGCTGGAGCCATCTCTTCTACCACACAATTTTTCCCTTTTTTTTTTTTTTTTTTTTTTTTGGTGGGTTTTTTTCCTTATTTATTTCTTTTGGTAATACAGTGACACCTGACATTGTACAAAAGAACTTGCTGGCAGCTCCACTCAGTGCCAGCATCAACATGCAACTGTTGGTCTGCAAAAGCAATGCTGAGCAAAAGATCTGTTTTATGTGTGTCGTTACCATCACAACAGTATCAAAGCATATGTGATTAAAACTCATTCTGTCAAAATGAGAACTGCAGATCAGTATAATCACAGTTTTTTATTGAGATGTACGGGGGGAGTTGTGAGGGAGGGACTGACAGATGTCTTCAATAACAAGGCACAGCTTACTGAGATTGTGAAGGTATGTGAACAAAGTACATTTCCAGAACTTGAGGTTGGCATTTGCCTTAACAAATTCCTG